AATTATTACGTGAACTAAATGCACGCTCTACAAAGGCATTTGAGAAATGTAACAAACACTAACAAGGAGTTTATCATGCCTTTTAAATTTAGAAACGCATTTTGGCCGAGGGTGTTTTTTGAATGGAAAACCTTACGCCAATACTTTTCAGCGTCACCTGGAGGATGCAAGTCGCAGCTTTTATGATCAAGTATAGCCTGTTCTCGACATTCCTCGTCAATAGCTTGTAGATCGTAATAATCACACAACACTGGAAATCTTACAAAGACAGACTACGTGTTCAATGCTAAAGGATTTAAACGAGAAGCTTTGGACAACAGACGGATTTATAAAGTCAATATAATTAAACAGGCTTTCTAACTATTATTTAGCTAACTCCACATAAAAGCTGCGGCGGTTCTCAAAAATATATTGATATCATTTTCAGGAACCTGCAAATGCTCTTTTAAGTTTTCTAAGCTTTCAGTAGCTAAAACACCTAAATACACTCTGTCCAATATCTTTTATTTGGATTGATCGTCATACTGAATTTTCATTATATCAGAGCAAGACCTCACATAAGAAAATTTGATGTAATTACTTCACAGTTTCCAATAGATCTTCAAATGAAGATTTCATTTTTGTCTAGCAATAATGTTTTTGACTGAAGCACGTGGTACACGTGGTAGAGCCATGCTGCATCTATATTGTGGTTGTAGCACGAATGGGTCGGCTCGACTGGGGAAGGACCACGCTCTCACAGAATACCAGCGTAAAATAACAGCTTAACGCTGCTGTGTTTCGTATGGTGAGTGTAGAGAACCGGAGACCCTTTTTACTGGAAACGAGGCATTCCATCTTAGTCCTCACGGGTAACAACGCATCTGCATTTTGACTCTTAATCGAAGATAGATGTAGATGTCTATGGGGCACAGCGACCACTTACCATCAGGTGGACTGTGTGCTCGTTTGTCACCCTTATCACACTTCATAAATACACATCGATATAAAAATATTAAAGTTATGATGTCAATTTTTTATGAATTACATAAAAAAAATATTTCATCTAAATTAAATTATTACAATTACTTAAATTCGTATAAAATACACAAACACAACAGAACAGATACACAGCTCTAACGTAATCTATATTTAGGTTTGGATCCGGAGTGCTCGACATGCAGCCTGGTCCAGTGTCGCATTATAGGGCAATTCAGATCCATTCGCCAGGCGAACAGTTGCATGTAGCCATTTGAGCTACCCCGCATGCGGCGCGTCAGGCACGTGACTCGCTTCCGAATGATCGTTGCGAATCCGTCTATATTTGCATCCACAAACATCCCCGATGCGCTACAGTAGCGTGGCAGCTTCATCAGTGCTCTGAAGTGCGTTATTGTATAGAATGCGTAATGTATACGTCATGAGTTCTAAATAAATAATCGTGAATTTATTGTTATTATCCCACGTAGCCATAATTTCTTAAGATGTTTTAGGGGGTCCTCGGAAAAGTTTGTCTTAAATATTGCTTAAGGGGCACAATACTGCAATTTTTCACGGAGAGCCGTCCTATTGACGCCACAGTTAAATTTTTGTTTGGAGATGAGTTTGAAAGTTTCTAAACTTCTCTTGGCTAAAAGAATTGCGACTGAGATATGACCCCAAGTTTCTATATAAACTTCAACAGCTATTGTACTATATTTCTTTCACCCGACAGCCAGACTGGCTGACAGCATCCTGCTAACAGCCTTGATTCATCATAATTAAATAAGTATATTAATTTATTTTATTTTTATTATTAAATTAAAAAGTAATTCTAACTTTTTATTTAAAATAGAAAATTTATTTTACAGTTTATTTAAAAATTCGTGCAAAAAAATAATTAATATAGATGTAAATAAATTAATATAAATGTAGCTATGAGCCGTGGTAGCTCAGATGGTTAGCGCTCGCTGTAAGCTTCACAGTACTCGAGCAACCCGGATCCGATCCCCACCGGCACCAATGAAATTGTTAATTGCAATTTTAAGTGCTGATTTACCACGTGCTCGGCAGTGAAGGAAAAGATCGTGAGGAAACCTGCATGTCTGAGAAATAATAAAAAAATATATATTTCGAAGACATGTGAAATTCGCCAATACGCATTGGGGCAGCGCAGCGGACATTTCCTTGCCCTAAAACCCTCTCAGAAATGAGAGGAGGCCTGTCCCCAGCAGTGGGACTTAAATAGGCTGCAACTTTACTTTTTTACTTTTATGAGAAATTAAAGCATTTGAAACATTTTGAAGCCTTCGCATATTAACACTTTCACTGTCCGGTTTTCAGACATAATAGTAAGACTATAACAATGACCTACATGTAGAGCACAGGACAGGGAAAGTGTTAAAAATGTGATGATTAATAAACGGTTTCAGTAACCGTCAATTTCATTTTTAAAAGATAAGGTTATTTTTTAAATATTAATTTATGCCTATTTAACACCCCTGTTCAACTTTTGACGCGCCATTTAAAACTTTTAACTTTCTAGCCTTTCAAAAAGAACTGACATTTTTAATTATAGAAATGAATTAAGAATAGACTTAACATTATAATTTCTTTGTTTCTCTTTAGCTTTCTAAAACTGGAGACAATTTGATCTCCCCAGCTTTATTTCTGTTATAAAATTCAAATGAAAAACTAACTTATAGTTTACCCAGTTCACTGCAGCTCATGAACACCTGCTGCCAACTTCAAACAAAGAAAACTACAGGTGTATCACCTCTAAGGAATAAGATGGTATATATATATATATATATATATATATATATATATATATATATATATATATATATATATACAAGGGCATCCTGCATGCAAGCGCACAACAATGCCACAGAGTAAAGGGGACCAGAGGGGAAGCTTCCTAACAACGTCGAAAATCTATACCTATTCTGATAGGGTTGTCACCTGATGCATGTGAAAATTTTAAGGAAAAAATAAAAATATTGTATAGCATAAGACATCATGTGTATTAATTATAACTTATATTAATGTAACAACATATTTATTAATTGTTCGAAATCAAGAGTTTTGGTGTAAGTGGTGGTGGTGGTAGTTGTGGCTGTGATGGTGGTCGTGGGCAGTGGCGGTGGTGGTGATAATAATGGTGGTGATGGTGCTAGTGTTGATGAAGTCACTGTTGGTCCACTGCCTACTACCATTACCTACGATACTACCACGTCCACCACCACTGACACCATCAGCAACACTATCCACCAACACCAACACCAGCACCACTTCCACCAACACCAGCACCACTTCCACCAACACCAGCACCACTTCCACCAACACCAATCCCTGGCGATTGTATTCCAACCATAATGCAGTGGTATTTACCCCTGCGGTCGCGACTCGCAAAAAGTAACTTATATCCTACCCCAGGCAGCAACCTACCTCTATACTAATGTGGGTGGATAAAGTCACACATTTAGCCTTATTACGTAGGATATTCTGCCATCTACGGCACTGTCAAAGTTAGACTGACTAACGTTTCAAGTAGGTGAGACCGACATCATCACTCGGCGACGCACCTTTCTAACACATTCTCACTTACCTATCAATGTTATTACCTAGTATTATTGTATACGTAAAAAGGCACTTACTTCACTTGATCTCTCGGGTACAAAAAAAGTAAATATCCTTATTTTCTCTAGAATTATTCATGCATACTCTACAACTATTAGGCATTTTTGCTTATACAGAAAACTTATTATTTACCTATATAAATTTATAATAACTTAATTCTTAATTATTCTTATTAAAAAACTTTAATCTAATTATTTAATAATTGCAAAAATACTTAATAAATTAATTGATGTATAAAATATCGAAATATTTTTGGTCTATTTATTTAACGACTAACAGCCCTTTCATGGACACTCTGACTGAGCCGGCGCAAACCAGTTTGTACCCCGATGGAGCGTCGGTGAACCTGTCGGTGAGAGCTCACGCTCACATCGCTGCGCTATGTGTGCGTGAGCGCTATGGGTGTACTCGCAGCGAGCCGTTTGTATGTAGCTTCCACTATGGTCGGTTTCTTTACTCATGTGACAATGGCGCAGAGTCCATAGACATGCCGCGGTGTTTAGACGCATCCTTAGTGCGGTATCCTTAGGCCTCGCGCCAAGCACACGCTTTTTAGAACAATTATAACATAGCAAGCCAATAAACTAGATAATGTGTATATTTAAAATGGTAAAGAACGTGCACTGCTTCATTCTGATCTGAAGGAAGCTCATAAAGAGCCCGTATAATTACATGCTGTGAGGTGTTCCGTCTTAGTCTTCAAAGGTGACAACGCATCTAGTTTGAACCTTGTTTGAAGTTGATGACAGGTGTACAAAGCTTTGCTTTAAAATGTTATTCCATTTTTTATTAAGCTGAACTGCATTAGGCACTTACCTTAAGAGGGACTGTGAGTTGGTATATCACTTCAGTTTTATGAAAAGCAAATAAGATTTAAAAGCAAATATTGAAAGTGGCCGTATCTGAATTCGCATACCAATTGTCGCCTTGGTATCCCGAAGGTTGCCAAAGCATTCTGAGGGTTGTTGATGCATTCTGGAGGCTGGCGTGCATAAGCTTATCGCAGCGTTGTTTTTGTGGTTATGAACATTATCATTAAAATTTTGACTATAATGTCACAATATTAACTCATGTTACTACTATTCGTCGACAGTGGGCGCCAGACTTTTAAAAGGAATATCATTAAAAAAATTACATTTTCCAATTACATTTCACGTCTTCTTTCGTGTATCCTAATCTCTATAACTCCACTCCTAGCTAAATATCGCTGGTAAATAAAATATTAAAAGAGATTGAAAATTAAAAGGTTTACGTACTTGAATGTCTTCAATCTAAATAAATGCGTCTTATTCATTGAACAAAAAATACAATTTCCTTTTCGCAGCGCCCTTTTAAACGATGTTCATTACGAATTTGAAGCAATTTTTAAAACTAATATGGGATTATTAATTTTCATTTACCTGGTTCAATTGGTTTTTATTTTCATAAAAGAAATTAAGCTAACATTGCAAATGTAAAGTATTTTTATTATGATGACGATGTCTGTACTGATCTGGTTAGTTCTGATCAAAAATTACTAAGAAAAGATAAACAAAAATCGTTAACTCGACTCGGCACGAAATACAAGTGTTTGAATTATAATGCCGAAAGAAATGTGCTAGAGAATTTTTTGTGCAAAATAGGGCTTCCAGGTCGGTGCACCAGCAAAAGAACCATCCCTCTTATCACCAGCAGCAACGACCAGTCGTGAATAGAGTTCCTTTAGAAACTTCAACGCACATGGACCCCGATAGTCTCTACAGCAATTGGAACAAATATGTAGTAATTATTCAAGACTCATATTTGCGCCACTTAGTTCATCTGCCTCTGATGGCTTTAAATGAGGTACCCCTGAGAGACCGCCAAAGTGTCTACGCAAGTAGCATCCCACACTAGGGCTTTACCTCTCTCCCAAGGACCAATGTCACACCGTCGCGTCTCCTGCCATCGTCTCTAAATATTCCACAAAGCTCTAAAACCGAGGGAACATTGATAGAGACAAAAGCCCTTCGGATAACATCGTTCAAAGAACAGTGCATAAAATAATTCCGTAACTCTAGTACGTTTCTTGGGAGTACGAAACCTCATAAGGTGCTGTGTCAATTGTGGACAGTCTAGCGCGTCAGTACATACCTAGTATAGCAGCATCGTGTCAACTACACATCTACGATCTTGTAATGTAAATAAGTTGTGATGCAGACAAGAGCTGTGATAGTCTTCGCTCTTGTGCCTGCCAAGGTAATTGAGGTACTGCAGGAATCTATTCTGTATACGCTCTATGGCTGCGACACATTTTTTTATATTGGGAGACGTATGTAAAATAAAGTGCTTTAATGCAAATGAAATCATTAAAATGTTTGGTGACACGCATGACGAATCCTAGATTTTTGAAGGCTTTCTTGGTTATTAATTAATGTAATGTGTTCTGAAGTGTGTGTGTTATAAGTTTTATTTTACGGGTGAACGAGATTGATACACATTTGTCGATATTAGCTGTTATGCGGTTATTTTTGTAGTAAAGAGCAATCCTGTTTAAGTTTTCATTAAGGAGCCGACAGTCTTTTTCTGAGTTTACATTCATATATATTTTCTTGTCATCTGCATATATTGAATATATTTCCTATATCGTAGTGCATATATTTCCCATATCATACTGGTAGGGTATATACAGGAGAGAACCAAGCAGAGATACCAGCGAAACTCCTGAAGGGACGTTTATATAATCAGATCTGAAACCACCTATATCACAGCTTGGCTGCGATTGAAAATATATGCTTGGAACCAAATCGCAAATCACTGCAAATCCCAAGCATTTGTAATTTTTGAAGCAGGGTGACACGATCCACTCGGTCGAATTCTGATAATGATTTGAAATAGATTTTATACGTAAACTTGGTGCTATTAAGTGTATTAAGTATCTGCGCATGTGAATGTGAATGTTAGTGGGAAATATTGAGTCTGTTTAGGCATCTTGAGATAAAATCGTCATCTAAAATCTACTTGCTTAAGCTACCGTCAAAACCTCTCAAAAACTTCGCAATGTGATGCATCAACATTTTGTGAAGAAGTTATAAAACAATTTTTTTAAGGAAAATTGGACGTAGTTACGCAAAAAAGTTCCAAATCACACTAGGACAAAAAAGTTACGAGTATAGTGTTTAAGGACTCAAAATTTTGTAATAGTTTATTTATATCAATATAATATGTTAAGTAAATTTACAAACAAATCAAATCAATACGGCAATAACTCAAAAGTACATTTTTGCGGGTGGACCCTTCTTCTGCAACTAATACAGCTAATTTCATAATACTCACATTACAGCCTATCACATTTTCACTGCTGAACATAGCCTCCCCAAAGATTGTCTCATAGGGAGGATATTTGCCATAGTTGTCATGCTATGGGTCAGCAACCGCACTTTTTTCCCTTTGTCGCCTCTTATAACACCCACGGGACGATATGGAGTAATAGATATTCTTACACCCCCACTACACGGTCATAATACTCGACTCTGGCAAAATTACAACAGTACGAATCCCATAACAAAGAATTCGTCTTTCTATTATTTATTGGTTAGAATCAACTCTGTATCCCAAGTAGGTAACTTTATACGTGGTAGAGCTATGATGCAGCTATATTGGTAGTATAATTGTAGCACGATTGGGTTAGCTCGACCGGTGAAGGACCACACTCTCACAGAATACCAGCGTAAAATAGCAGCTTAACACAGCAGGTGTTTCATATGCTGAGTGTAGAGAACCGGAGACCATTTTACTGGAAAGGAGGCATTCCACCTTAGTCCTCAGTGGTGACAACGCATTTGCATTTTGATTCGTAATCGAGGATATAAACGTTAACACGTTAAAATTTTAAATAAAGAGATTGACTTGGCCATCGCATGAAAACACAATGTATCTCTCAAGTAATACATATTATATTAAATTAGATTGTTTAGTTCGATTGCCAAGTCAATTTATTTATTTAAAACATAAAAGATTTTTAATATTGATATGGTCACTATGAGATGTTGTTAAGTTAGCTAATTACGTAATAACTCAAGACAGAAGGATCCTTAAGTAGGGACTGAATAAATTAACCGACTTGGTATTACATGGATCTCACAACTTTTTACTGTAGAAGAACGGAGTTGCGAGACTTGGAAGTTATGTTTTTGATGGCATCTTATCTCTTTTTGTAGATAGCTATATTGCGTACCTATTTGCACCTATTATTCCATTATATTATACATATATAGGTACTGATTTATTCACTGCAAATGTAACTTTGTTATCCTATATATTTATAAGGGATTACAAAGTTATTTATGCAGTTGGTGTATCTCGAAAACTGGACCGAAATTGCAAAATATTTTAATTTTTCCTTGATTTATATACTAAACAATAATTGTATTCCAAATTTGAAGCCTTAGAATTTTGATGATCGGTCAGTCAGTGAGTGACAAAATTAAAAAACTTTAACTAGTTATAATTCTTAAACTACTGATTAAAATTTAATGAAATTTGAAATATACCGAGTTTATACAATGCCTACTTGGCTACTGAAAATTCAGGCTTCTAGTTTTATCCACAACCACAACAAAGTTATAGGGTTTCTAAAATGGCCTAAACTGCTTCGAGAAAAGGATGGTACAGCCGTGCCGCTTTTTCGCTCGACTTGGCAGGGGCACTGCCGTGCCCCCAGATAATTAAAATCAATTCCAATTACGATCGACAGTTAATTAATCCATCAGAAACAATTAATATAATAAATAATATTTTTACTTTATTTTAATTGACTTTCTATATTTAATCCGACCAATACTTTGAATTTAAAAAGAGGTACGTCAAAATTATTAAAAATTACTTGCAAGTTTTAAAGTGATTGCCGCCTCTAATTCAAATGTGGCAAACTAAATTTTGGTGCAACATAGCAGCATTGCCAACACCAATTTGTCAAATTCCCCGAAAATTCATGTCAAAGTCCCCAATTTAAGGACAAATTCTTTAAAATTAAAAAATAAAGAAATGAAAACCATTAAAAAACCATTAAATGTGGTGCAATGAACATAATTTAAAAAAAGGTCATTCGATTTTCATAAGTAACCTAACAAAATGTTATTTAGATTTCTTGAAAAAAGGTTCTGGCTTGGCCCTGGCTATCGATTTTCAAAATCCTCGTATTTTCCCTGCATAATACCAATCCCCAACCAACTTTAAATTCCCCGCAAGTTTGGGAATTTCCCACATGTTGGGATTATATAAATTCCACAACGCCGGGCGACACGAGCTGACTGGGCGGCGGTATCGCATGTGTGAAAGGGAAGGGTAGAGTGAGTAGGCATTGTGTCGCACCGAGCTAGATACATAACGAGTTTGGCATCCCCGAGAATATTGACCTTATTGTCAGCTGATTTTATGACTTATTTATTTTAAATTTCACTGCTGATCTAATATTTAAGCATTTCATGATTTTTTAGCGAAATTATCGTATTATTTAGCTGTACCAACATAATGGGACGTGAATAAAGCTAATAAAACGTTGCGAAAAGATGATTCTTTTTTCCTCAGAATCGTATTTATTTCTCACCCATGATCAAAGGTATAGTTAGTACTATCGTCTATCTTCGTTTTCGGGAGCGTTTCACAAACACCCGGTATATCGACTCATTTGCTACCATAGAATAGATATAGCAGTTTATACTAAATCTATGTTTGCTACCATAAAAATCATTATACACTACCGTAAAACACTACACTATAAAATTTTCCTCTAAAGTTATGATTTACTGGTCTCTTCAAGTTGCTGCTGATTTAAAACATCTCATTTTTTGCCATTTGGATTCATTAACGCACCACATGACTTTCAGTCTTAAATCAAAAAATTTACATTTTACAAAATATTTACCTTTTTAATACCCTTTATATTACTTTGAGCTTGCTTGTTTCTTGAGGTGCTCCTTTTCATTAACAGTTTTATAAATATGTATTTATTAATTGTGTGTTGGATAGCCTGTCTTGTTTTTTTTTTTATGGAAAAACAGGCAAACTAGCGTAAGGCTTACCTAATGGTAAGTAATCACCGTCGCTTATCTGTAATGCGAGGGGAAACGCAGGTGTATTGCCGGCCTTACTCTGTCTTGCACTTAATAATAATACAATATTTTTAAACCTAAATATATTGTTTATTTATTTATACAATAGTCAATCAAATATATTTTAAAAACCAAAACAAATGTTATATAAGTAATTGCAAATGTATTTATATTTACTTTATTAAACACAATAAATTATATAATTAATTCATACTCTATAAAAAATATCTGCCAAAATACTTCTAAAAGCAGTCTTTATAATATATTTTTGGGTTTAGAATAGACATATAAACTATCCGGACGTAGTGCCTTTAATGGACTCCTTGAGTCTGTTGTTCTCAGCTACCAACGCTTGGACTCTTTCTTCGTATTTCTCTCGCAATTCCTGAAATTTTATAAAAGTGTCAATAGAATTTTTTAGCGTATAGCGTTATAAGCGGCTTGAGTATATGTCAATATTTAACTGATCATCCACATTATCTCCATAGTCTTATTTATTCTCCAGTATATTAACCTGACACTGAAAATGAAATGGATCCGAAAAAAGTTATCCCAATGTATAGGAACTTAAAATTAGGTGCTCTTTTATAATTTTAAGTCTTTTATAACATTAAGTCGATAGTGTTCATATAAGTATGAACAGTATCGACTTAATGTAATAGAAAGCCTGTTATTTTAATCAACGTAATGCCACAAATCTTACAAACTCCACAAATATTGCAGTCTAGTTCAACCGGCAATGTAGCTCGAAGAACTGAAAGAGAATAATACTCAATAATAGTCTCTTAAGGACAATACGGTAAAGAAAAATCTACCTTAAATATAGCGAGTTGCGTTTCATATTCTTTACGCAGATCGTCATTAATATTGGTGCTGGTCTGAGCTCTTTGTAGCACAAGACTGTATCTTTCCTTCTCAGCTTTGTAACGCGCATCCATCGCTTGAAAACGCTCCTGAAACAGACCGAAAATTATTATCTAGATGTAAAATAGGTTAGTGGATATCGACCTCACCAGATGGTAAAAAACTTGATTATCTTATTTTAAATACTTTACTCTCAACTAGGTAACTTGTAATTGATATCAGATTTATTTCATAGCACAAGGGTAACAAACGAGCACACAGCCCACCTGATGGAAAGTAGATGATGTGACCCATAGACACATACATCTATCCCCAATTAAGAATCAAAATGAAGGTGCACTGTCACCCTGAGGACTAAGATGGAATGCCTCGTTTCGAGTAAAATGGTCTCCAATTCTGTACACTTACCATGAGAAACACCAGCATTGAGTTGCTTTTTCATGCTGGTATTTTGGGACAGTGTGGTCATTCCCCGTACGAGCTGACCCACTCGTGATACAAACATAATATAGTTGCAGCATGGCTCTACCATACCATGTATAGATTTAAATATATAATAATGAGGTATTTAACAAGTCCACTGCTGAATGAAGGTAGGACTCCCAAAAGGAATCCCACAAAGCACGGTCCTGAGCGACCTGCATCCATCGACTTCCTGCATTTCGGGTCGCTCTACACTTCGCCTACCGGTGATACGAGGCTGCTGCTACTCATATATGTGTGTGTGTGTGTGTGTGTGTGTGTGTGTGTGTGTGTGTGTGTGTGTGTGTGTGTGTGTGTGTGTGTGTGTGTTTGAATTTATAAAATAAACTGGAACACTTGTGGTTTCAAATATAAATGAATTTTCTTTTCGTCCATAAGTCTGTCAATGATGTGGAATTCTTCAATCTATACGGTGACTCACATTATATAATCATTCGCGCTTAAAGCTGTAGCGTGGTTCTACTACGTATAATTCTAATAACAAACTAAGTTTCTAAATTGATACATACCTCCATAGCTTTGACTTCGGAATTCCTGATATCGAGCAAGTCCTTCGTGATAATGTTAATGTCCTTTAGCGAAGCCACTTGTGTAGTCAGTGCTTGGATCTGCAGCTCCTGGTTCTTCACCATCTTCGTTTTGTCGAATATCATGCCGCGAGCTTTGCTTAGCAACTGCAATCGTAATTAAATTAACTGATCAATATTAGGTACCGGTAAAAAAATAGTGCTTCTGCGATCTAGTAGCCTATTGGTCAGCGCCTATTTTCTACGTGGTTGTTTCTTGGTGTCCCATCCAAAACAATTCGCTCTGCAAAATAATAAAAAGTAACAAATTACGTGTTTTGGTCGTAATTATACCTGTCTTTAACATTAGGGCAAAGTGGGAGGACACCATCGACTAACGATAAGCCTGTTAAGGGTTTATTTTTATCTAGTATGTTACTCTTGATTAAAATCTAAATATTGATTACTGAAGTAGTTAGTTGGATAGTTGAACTTGTTTAAAAAGCAACAAAAAAAGTTTATGTCACTACTTCGCTGTTTTTCTTTTTAATTTTCCCTTAGGTTTTCGTGTTACCCCATTTTTCTCCTGGCAAACCAAACTAACCAAGCAAATACGTGTACATTAAAGTCTCTTCATTTATATAATAGGCAAGTGTTACAATTTTTCCTGTCTAATTCATAGATTCTCGAATTCAGAAGTTGCCGCTGCTGTGATGACCTAAGATAACAACAACAGTCTATATTTATACTTACCTCTTCATGCTGCAATTTAATCTTCTCGATCATCTCATGGTTCTTGCCGCTCGGCTTGGATAACGCAGCCTGAAGTTCCGTCTCCAAGTTCTTCACTCGTGCTTTCAATAGATCTATTTCTTCCTCACGAACCTGATTGAAATTTAAATACATTTATATCGTCTTATTAACTTCCAACTTGGAAGTTTCTCTAACGGATTCATTAAATATTTGTCTACTAGTAGATATATATTTAATGAATCCGTATATAGATACATACAATCAACTCATGTTATTTTTAAATGATCGTCTGTGTTTATGTGTGTTTATGAATATCTTCCAACGATCATAAATTACCAAGCTAAACGTATAATATGCATATCGCAGTAAGTATGTTTATTATAGAATAAGGTTGAGAGACGAGCACACAGTCCACCTGATGATGAGTAGATATTGAGGCTCAGAGACATCTTCAATTAGGAATCAAAATAAAGATGTTTTATCACCAATATAAAAGATCTCCTGTCTTCCACACTCACGAATTACAAATACGAAACACAACAGCATTTGTGAACTTGTGAAACTAATTATAGAGTACTTATTATACCAAAAGGGAAATAAACTTGCTTTTTATTCCGAAAAAGGAACTCTGGGACAAATCTTATGAAGAGAGATGACTTACTAAATGACTAATAGTTTTCCTTAGAAGGAAGTGTTTTTGTTTTTCTTTATGGTTTGCTCTTGTTTAAAAAAAACTATTTGTGAAAATTAAACAGTAACTACTAACCTTTAATTCCAGCCGGAGACCGTCCTCGCTTCTCTCGTTCTTGACTTTCTCCAAGTCCTCAATCTTTTTTAAAAGCTCCAATTCACGTTGCTGCCATTCACCCTGGAAAGAGTAAGTGCATTTAGATAAAATTATTATCAAATATTTTTTAATATTGTAAATAAATTACTTGTGAAAAAAATCATGTAATGTCACATCTAACATAGTATTTATTAAAATAAAATATCGGTTTTTTTTTACAGTATTATAATCCGTATTCTTAACACCACTAATAGACAATTTAACTACTCCAACTAAGCTATAAATGCTTGTAATAGGAGTGGTTGGTTCATGACAGTAGTCAAATGGCGGATTCGAACCTACGACTTTTTGTAACTACGTATTGACAAAAGTTAAATTAATATTAATTAAATATTAGGAAAAAAACGTCAAAGTTCCGACAAAAATCTTGACAATTGTTGATATTTTTACACGTAGGGATGAGATTATCATCTCTGCATCTCTTCAAGAAATTTAAAGATGAATTTAAAGAGGATTATCTTGCGCGCTTGGTTTTGAGATCTTCTAATCAGAGAAAAGTCCGTACTGGTTTCTATAATGATTTCTTATATTGTCACTAATACTACACAAAAAACGTAAAATTAGTTTCATTTAATTTGTAGTATTCGCGTAAATATAAGAAATCATAATTATCATTAAACTCAGCTGTTAGGTTAAGTTTAAGAATAAATTTAAAAATCCATGATTGAAGTAATTAATAAAATCAATACGATTTTTTTATCATTTGCAATAAAATATATTCTAAATAAAACTCACTGATCCTTTAGGTGCTTCATTAATATCAGCCTTAACTTCATTGTTCTCCTGTTCTGTTTTAATTGACATTTCTGTTGGCTCTAGTGTTAGTTCTTCTTTAGATTGTTCTGGTGCAACACTTGCCACATCTATTTGATTTTCATCGTTCGACTTGGCTTGGCCCTGAAAAGTTAAAGAAAAAAACTCTAAACTTACATTAAAGATTTTAAACTAAACTACTTAGCGGTCAGCCACCGCAAAGTTTACTCAGGTGAAGTAGACTTTGTGTATCTTTCACAATGTAGTAATGATGAGATTAGTGGTGCTGGAATTAGTGGTGACGAGGATAGTGCACGCAAATGAGGGAGGGCGGGAGGTGCTCTTTAAACTAAGTAAGACACGTCTTTTTCTTTTATTACGTGGATCATAGCAAGTTAATTTTTAAAATCTGTAATATAATAAATACCGCAAAGTAAGGCCTGGTTCGATTAATTAATTCTAAACTTATTTCAGACTAGAAAACTATACTTTATACGTGGTTAAGCCATGCTGCAGCTAATGGGTCAGCTCGACAGGGGAGGGACATACTGTCACAGAATACCAACGTAAAATCTCATCTTAATGTCGCTGTGTTGCCAAGCGTGACAACTATGGAAAATATCCCCCCTATGAGGCAATCTATGGGGGAGGCCAATGTTCAGCATAGTAGACTTTAATAAGCTGTAACGGTAACGGTAACAATATTTGTCTATGGGCCGTAGAATTCACTTACCACCAGGTGGACAATGTGCTCGATTGTCCACGTTATTCTATTTATCCTGAGTATAAACTATAGTTGTTCTATTTTGTTGCTTAATTCCATCAGCATCTAAGTGCATGTCAATCAACAGGTCAACACTTCACATACTGAATAACAACAATTTTGCATACTTTGTTTTAATTCAGTAAATTATAAGAATCTACACAATATAAACATTTATTAACACAAAATAGATTGTAATAAAATATACTCGTAAATAGAAAAAATGTTCATAATGGATGGATGTAACATATTATTATCATAGCTTTTTTATAATTATTTTTTAATTTTCCACGCTAAGATTTCCTGTTAGTGAAAATGTGATAATGTACATTATCACATTTAGTGTAGAGGTTTATCGCAAACGCGATGCCAATCTGGGATACTACTTGTTCCGACAGAGAGCGGACGGGCATAATCGCATTTACAGTAGAACGCTCCTTTCGAAATCCAAACTGGCTATCACCCAAATTGGGAGCGAAAGATGCCTGTTGAGCCGAATGGCAAATATCCTCTCGAACAATTCGCCAATCTAGTCGGTATGCAGAGGGAGTGCTCGAAGCCACCGCTAATGTTGCGGACTGGCCGAAAGACGCTGATCGTGTTCGATTTGGTCCGAAAGGGGGAGTGAACTACTTTCGGGCTGCGACGATTGACGGTGACCTGTGACGGTGCTCAGCCCCAATCGCCCCAAGCGCACGGCGGTGTACAAGTGATCGGCAGAAATCGCAAGGCTCCGTGTGATCTGCGTGTTTAGTCGGTACCAGTACACTAGATTCTGAAGAAGGAGAAGGCATTCCCACCTTAGAAGATAGCCAGACTCTACGGGGCATACCAAGCGGCAACAAAAGCGCCTACAAGACTTACAAAGGCTACAAATAGCCATAGCCAACGCTAGATCTCGGTCCTGGAATGAGCTTCTGGAGGGACTCAACGAAGATTCTTGGAAGCGTCAATACAGGTAGATGAAAAAATCAGGCCCCCTTGTTGGAGGACGGGCATTCTCAATCCTGACCTGATGAGAATGATGATTAGCACGCTTTTTCCAGAGGACTGGTCAAGTCTCTCAGGTCATTTGCCTTAGTCATGGTAGTGACAATAGAGGTAAACGTGAAGGAGCTGAACCGAGTAATTAGAACCCGGAACCCGGTACACTACGCTGGAGACTGACGAAATCCGGGGTCAGGCTCTAATACTGAGTGGCTGACTCGGAAGCCAGGCTTAGACAGCTGTTAACTGGCTATCTGTAGAGTGCCAAGAAAGAGGCAATGTTGATCTTCTTGGCAGGGTCCTTGATTTTCCATCCGCATATCGCGTATACGACCACTAACTACGCGACATAAAAACATAAAACGTTCGTATTAGCTCAATCTGTAGATAATTTGACGGAGATGATTTCATAGCCCCCAAGATAACCCGGAAGCACTTGAGTTACATTTTATCTGAATACTTGAGAGCATGTATACAGGGTTCCAAGAGGATTGCACCATAGTCTCACAGATTACCAGCATAAAATAGCAACTTAACGCTGCTGTATTTCGTATGGTGAGTGTAGAGAACTTGAGACCCCATTTACTGGAAATGAGGTATTCCATTACAGTCTTCAGGGGTAAAAAATGACTACGAATTATGGCGTTATATTAAGTATTAAACAATATGGGTGAGAATCCTATCAAACACCTGTCAATGAGTGAAGGACATTTACTTTCTTTTCGCATTTTTGACAAAATATGACAGTGATGTATTCCCTTTTAATTAAGAATCCAAATAAACACCCAAAAATTCAACATTATCACTATCCGCAATTATTTGATTATGTACAGAGATTGAAATATTGGGACAAAATACCCTAGGGGTTTTCATGAGGGTATCCAAATATGTAACATAAATTACAGTGTCTTTTAATTGCGTTGACTTCGAAGCCTAAATTTTACACCTACAAGGACCGACTGATACCGTTTGATTTTAATTTCAACTTGATATCTCTACCCATCCCAGAGAAAAAGAATCTTGAAAACGGACCGACGCAAAGACAACAAAGTTTTGCTATAAGGGTTCTGTTTTTTACGTTTGGGGTATAAAGCCCCAATAAACACCATAACTTTTTACTTCTGTTTATCTAAACAGTAAAGTTTTTGAATATTTTATTCAAATAAAAAAATCGAACTTACCGCAAGCTTAGCGCCTTGCGAATCTTCTTGCGTAACAATTGCTGGTGCTAGTGGTTCACCACCGCCTATTTCTGGTGCTTGGACTGGATCCGCCTATAATTAATATATTTTACAATTTAATAAAAATTATTCAAGATCATATATTAGCGACAAGTTTGATGGTTAAAAAAAATTGATGAATTATCTGAAGATCACGACCTTAATCATCTTAAACAAATAAAAATTAGGTATTTTGTCTGTTAAAGATCCCGATCTACAAAAAAAGATTGATAGAGAGAAAGAGAGAGAGAAGGAGAGAGAGAGAGAGAACACAACATAAAGTGCACCGAAACCATACTTAATATAAGAACGCGTAATTACGCACTACATGCAAGTAAAATAATTCGCAACCAACAACATGGTTTTAGTTGCTAATGTGTGCGTCCAGGAATGGACTTTACGGGCTGAAAAAAAGAAAAAGGAGTGTGCGTGAGTGCATGCCAAGAATTTGAAAATGGTTTTGCCACCACCTAAAATTCGAATTCAAATTGAAAATATTTGTTGTATGTTAAGTGTTACATTTGGCGTTAATTTAAAATGTGATTACAATTTAACCACCCTTTTCGGGTATTACAATAATAGGTATGTGACTTACATAAGTTTAATTAAGAAAGTTGTTAGTTATAATTAAACAATTAATGAAAATTATAAAAAAAGAACAATTATATAATAAAAAAATAAAGAATATACATAATATTATGTAATTACATTTATTGAACTTAATATATAATTTGGAATCATCAAAATTACATATTAAGTTCATCATAAATTAGAAAATGAGACAATAGAGGTAATCTCTAACAGTTATAATAATTTAAATAATTTGGAATGTAGCTTACAAATCCTTAATTGTATGACTTCACAAAGTGATAATAAAAATAGTTTACACCTGGTACATCTGAATAAAAAAATATATACAAGGCATGATAGACAAAGAGCTAGAAATTGAATTGTTCTTAAACAGCAAAAATATTCATATTTTATGTATTACTGAACATTAGTTAAAATCTTATACTCGTAACTTAACGTTTAACTTCAGTAATCACCAGGTGGTCAGTTCGTTCAATAGACAAACGATTTTAAGAGGTAGCTCGTTAATACATAAATTATTATCATGTAAAGAACGTAAAGACATTGTGAGCCTCTCTGTTGAACGAACTGTAGAAATGGCATGTGTTAAGTTCGAGCACCTCATTGTTGTGAGCGTCTACAGACCCCCATGTTCTATATACGATACTTTTGAAAAACTTATGGAGGAAGTTTTTGTTAAGCTTAATAAACAGAATAAATCTGTTTTAATATGTGGGGACTTTAATATCAATTTTCTAGAAGCTTCCACCACCAATATTAAATTTAGATCATTGTTTCAATCATATGGTCTTTTTAATTTATTTTTAGAGCCAACGCGTATTACTGAATGTAGTGTAACATGTATTAATAACATATTTACAATTTTAAGCCGTTGTATAGATGTGTGATTAAAAATTGAGTTCTGATCACTGTTGACAGTTAGTTTCGTTACCTTATGTTCACAAAATGCAAGTAGATAAGAAAATTGTATTTGTTCCAGTAAATGCACCTCGCTTGAAAAAGTTTAGAAGTAACATAGTGAAAAAACTTCCATCACTTTCATACCAAAATAATCCAAATTTTTTGTATGGTAAATTGTTTAAGCTTATTTGCAATGAATTTGATAATATTTTTTCTTCTAAAACGTTCTCCTTGAACAGTCGGAAGGCATTCAATGAATGGGCGACAGTAGGAGTCCATAAGTGCAGACAAAGGTTATATGAACTTTACCATATATAACCCTAGCATCGAGTTTAGGGAATATGTAAAGAAATATTCAATAATATTTAAACGATTGTGCTCTACAGCCAAGTCTTTGCATTTGAGCAACAAAATTAAGACGGCTTCTAATTAAATTAAAATGACGTGGAGTATAATTAATAGCGAAACTGGTAAGATCAACTCTCGCAATTCAAATTACCAGTTAAGTGTTAACAACAAATTAACTGTATCAGATCAGGACGTAGCAATGGTTTTTGAGAAATATTTTACTGATATTCCGATCTTAACCACTAAGTCACTGAATTCTTCTCCTGCATTTGCCAAATCATTAATTAAACAAAATGTACATGCGTGTACAAAGAATTTTACATTTCATAAAATATCATCAAAAGATATTGTAAAATATTTTAAAACTATTGATATTAATAAAACTGCAGATCTGTGGGGGATGTCCGTTAAAGTTATTGCGTCTATAATAGATATAATCGCGCCTCAACTATCCATTATTTTTATCGAATATGATGTGTTTCCTGATTTAATGAAGCATAGTAAAATAATACCTTTATTTAAGTCTGATAGTACATTAAGTCCCGCCAATTTTAGATCAATTTGTTTGTACTCCCAACAATTTTAACGGTGTAGAGCCACGCAGCAGCTTTTGCTGTTGCACGTATGGGCCGGCTCGAGCCGGGTTAGTACCACGACCTCACAGAATACCAGCGTGAAGTGGAAGCTCTGCTTCCGCGTTTCGTCTGGTGAGTGCAGGTGATCGGAGGCCCAATTCCCCCCCCCCCCCATCAACATGGTAGCGGAATTACGTCATAAACTACCCCAGGAGGGTACCAGTACCCCTGGAGAATCCCTCGCTGAGCATCCACGACCATGCCTTTCCACTTCTGAGCGTGGGTGCTCAGGCTGCCCCGCGTATTCTGGGGGGGGGCAGAATTCCGCTCAACACAATAACTGCTCGGGACAAACTGAGCAACAAGACCAAGGCGACCCCTGCCACGCTATCCGTGAACTTCTGCAACATCAGGGGACTTCACTCGAACCTAAACGCCGTCCACTACCATCTTGAGACGGCGAAGCCGGCCTTGCTCTTTCTGACCGAGACGCAGGTGTCCTCTCCGGCTGATACTTCTTATCTCTCCTACCCGGGGTACAAATTGGAGCACTCCTTTGTGCCTCGGGCTGGAGTTTACGTGTATGTCAGAGAGGACATCTGTTCTCAACGCCTCGGCAGTCTTGAAGGTTCGGACTAGAGATGAGACATACTTGCAAAATTTAATACCAGGGCTCCTAAGTACGAGTATGGAAAAATACCAGGGTCGAAAACCAGGTTTTAAAAATACTTGAAAGTATTTGTTAATATCAATATATATATATGAATGCCTAATTTGATTCGGGCAAAAATTTATACTGAACGTTTTTAATTTTTTTTTTGTAACGAAATGAAATCTTTCCTTCCTACTTTTCGGCTTAGGACTCTTAATAAATAAAAGTTTTAAAACTGTCTCTAAATTCAATATACACGCGAAATAACTATTTAAAAATTAGGTCACGGTCAGTACGTTACGTAATCAGTTCACAATAACAATTGAATTTACAAGAAATCGGAACAAAACTTTTACTTCCCCGAATATAAACATAATTCTTATTACTTACTAGCTACTTACGCGACGTGTCCAGCCGCGATGTCAGTTTGAAAATACTTACAAAGAGTATAGTAATATATAAGGAAGAATACTTGCATAGGAATTCGACCCGCTTTCCATGTTATCCTACTATGAATAAGGAGCAAAGTCGTATAAATAAAAGAAATACTTTGAAGTTCTAAGTATTTTTCGTTCACAAATACGATTGAGTTCCTTACTACTATTGTGATATGGATAATTTTCCTATGCAAGTATTTTCATACTTGCAAGTATTTTTTGCTCGTACCAGGGCGCCGTACTTTGAAGTGTATACCTGGTTTTAAAACCTGGTAGCGTAAATACGTCTCATCTTTAGTTCGGACCTGTCCATCCTTTGGCTACGCGTAGACAGCGACGACCATCCGCGCGTCTACGTGTGCCTCTATAGGTCCCATAGCGGTAATGCCGAAACAGACCGACTCATCGACCACGTCCAAATGGCTACAGATTCCTTGCTACAACAGGTCCCATCCGCAGAGATCGTGATCCTTGGCGATTTTAATGCCCACCACGCCGAATGGCTCGGTTCACGTTTAACCGACCATGCGGGGAGATCTGTTTATGACTTTGCCTTGGCATATGGTCTGACACAACTGGTTACATCGCCTACGCGGATTCCAGATGTTGAGGATCATACACCTTCCCTGTTGGACTTTCTGCTGACCTCTCATCCGGACGTATATCAGGTTTCCGTCGATGCCCCTCTTGGCTCTTCGGACCATTGTCTGATCCGGAGTGTGGTACCACTCACGCTCCCCTCGCGGTTGCGTTCTGCAGGTTGCCGCCGTGTTTGGCATTACAGGTCGGCGGATTGGGACGGAATGCGGTCTTTCTTTGCTTCCTACCCATGGGGGCGGGTTTGCTTCTCGCCGGATGATCCCAGCGCTGTTGCTGACTCTGTCACTGATGTGGTGCTACAGGGAATGGAACTATTTATTCCATCATCTGTGGTACCCATCGAAGGCAGATCTCAGCCTTGGTTTGGTCGCTCCTGTAAGACTGCTTTACGCAGTAAACAGGAGTGTTATCAAGCCTGGGCTGCGGCTTCGGCGACTCGGGATGTAAACACCAGCATGCTTAAAAAGAAGTATAACTTCGCCTCCAGGTCCTTTCGGGAACCCGTGCATTCTGGTCTCTCGCCAAGGCTGTCCAAGGGAATTTCTGTAAGCCATCACTACCATCTCTGCACAGGGAGGACGACTCACTGGCCCACGACGCAAAAGAGAAGGCCGACCTTTTAGGCTCCCTTTTTGCGTCCAACTCCACTGTTGATGACGGGGGGAATACATCGCCAACCATCCCGCGGTGTGAGTGCTCCATGCCGGATGTGCGGTTCTCACAGCGCTCGGTTCGCAGAGCACTCCTCTCCCTTGACATCCACAAGTCGAGTGGGCCTGACGGAATCCCCCCAATTGTGCTGAGGACGTGTGCTCCGGAGTTGGCACCGGTTCAAACGCGTCTTTTCCGGTACTCCTACTCCCTAGGCGTAGTCCCGAAATCATGGAAGACAGCTTTTGTCCACCCGATCCCTAAAAAAGGCGACCGCTCAGACCCGTCCAACTACAGGCC